GTGATATGAATTTAGTGGGCTAAAATATAGTTGGACTACTCTAATTATTTACATAATAGTTTATGTCATTAAAAAAGTTTTAATAGTTTTCATTAAAACTCCTTAAAATCTTCGCATCTAGAATTTTTACGTAGTATCTCCTCTATTACTATATAGAGGATCTGAGCAGCAGATTAGCTTTTCATGGGTTGGGTTGTAAGATACGAAGCCCATTATATTTCTTTTATATTTTTGGCAACATAAGTTTTTACTCTCTAATTTTGATGCAGCTTGTAATTTATATTTATCTAGAGGAGGTAAAGTGTGGATGGATTCTCCGTGTCTGTAAAATTTTCTGTGGTACGTAAAATAAAGGATATTGCTCATTTGAAAGATTTAAAATCAAATATTAAAATCAAGAAAAAATATCTTTAATATATATAATATTTTAATTATTTTCAAAAAGTCTTTCTTCTCGTTAAGCAAATGAGCCTAAAAATAAAGCTTATAAAATACTCTATTAGATATAGTAATGTGGTTTACACATTAGCCTTTGGTTTAGTGAACCGGTTTGTACGGGATAGATTAATTGTGTATATAATTACTTGTACATCGACACTTTCTCTCTAACAGAAACATCATAATTTCCAAATTCTCTCAAAGCTTATCTTCATCTTCTTCACGAGAGATTTCGTTTTTGTTTAAATCTCGAATGGTAATATATATAATATTTTAATTATTTTTAAAAAGTTTTTCTTCTCATTAAGCAAATGAGCCTAAAAATAAAGCTTATAAAATACTCTTTTACCAAATACATGTTTACAATGAACACTTTCGGTTTTGATTTCTTTAAGTCTTTTAGTTAATTTTTTGCGATATAAGCTTAAAAATGTGGCATTTAGATAATTCTTAAGAAGATTAATCAAAATCATGACAAGATTTTGTTATTTAAAATAACAAATAAGCACAAAATACATATATATACACAAGATGAAGAAATATGGGGATAGGTGATCGCCTTGTCTAACGTGCTCTTCACACGGACCCTCCTAGGAGATCCACATAAAAATTGGAGTACCATGCATGCTATAATTTCAGGTTTGTGTTTTTTAGATCAAAATATTTTAAAAAATTTCAT